ATATTTTATTTCTGCTTCATGAGATTTTCCATGGAAAATCTTACTATAGATCTTACACTATCTATCTGCATACATCTTAACTTCCTATCACATTAAACACTCAAGGCGAAGCTCCTATTTTATACACCTTTCTTTAGTTTTCTAAACCATCTAACAAAAGACTTGGTTGATGTGGAGGCATTTATTTCTGCAGCAGGGTAACATTTTTTTTTAATTCGGAAAAGATATTCTTTTGCTATTCTATGGAAAGGACTTCTCATTAGCAGCTGAGGGAGCCCCCGGATGCCTGAGCCCGAGGGCCGGCTCTCCCACTCCGGTAGCCGGCGTGGATGCGCTGTGACATCATGCTTTCTTTGTCCTCCTGGCTACGCCTGGCCTGGTGCTGTTCCATCAGGCACTGTCCTGTACCAGGTAAGCAGGTTCGTGTTGATCTCAGACAACTTTGGTCTCAGATCCCAACACAGGAGCTTGCTTTCTTGTGACGTTCTGGGCGTGAGCTGCCCCTTCTACACGGGAGGACAACAGCGGGGTTGCGGCCTCACAGAGCAGCTAATCTTCCCTTGTTTCAGGCCACTTCACCCTTCAGAGCTCGGCTCTGTCCTCACTTCCTCTGGGAACACATGGATGCCCGTCCTGGAGAGGTCAAGGCCTCCCTCAGGGCACAGGTGCCTTTCTTGTACCTCACCTCTCCCATTGGCATTGCATATTTATGTCTGAACACGTGACCAGTTTCTGTTTCCCTCCCCAAATGAGCTCCATGCAGAGGAAGACCCCCTCCCCCCCTTTCTGCTTGCAGTTCTTGCCCTGGCTCCTGGAATACCTGACCTGAAAAGGTGCTGACTGAGAAACCTGTTAACCGAAGGAATGAAGAAGAGAATCCCAGGATTGTTGTAGTAACTGAACGCCACAGCTGGCACAGGTGAGGCCTAAGAAGCATTCGAAACAGTAACAACAACAAAAATTCCATCAAGCCTGAAAGTGATTGGTTTGAAGGAACTTAAACGAGAAGAAAATACTGCCTTGGTAGAAAATACAGACAGCAGATGGGGAGGTGGAGGCTGGGCGGGCCAGGCCCTCAGAGCATGGACTCGTTGTGACTTCATTATGAAGTTGACAGAGCAGGGGTAATATTTCTACATAGTCAGAAAATAAGAAAACCTAAGAAAGACAGGCTTCTAGGGGCCGGCACTGTGGCGTAGTAGGACAACAACTCAAGAATGACGGCAGAGGCACACGTCTCGCACGTACCAACGTGAAAAGTCTGACTGACTCTCGACGTAAAGAGCAGCAGAGAAAGCTGAGAGATGAGGGCCATTACTCTTTACTGAGGCACAATGCAGACATCTGCACACATCAGCAGACTTGCAAGGACTCTCAGGGAAGAATACGCTATTTCTTGCATTTGTATAATTAGGATTAGAAAGATCATAAACCTGGCAGTTGCATGGAAGGCACTGTAGTGAAAGAAACACTGACCTGTGAACCCAGACTCAAAATAGGACAACTGTGTGTGGGGAGCAACTGAGACTAGACTAAGTTACTGGAATTAAGACTTATTCTATGCATCTGCTCTCCCACAATATGGCGCTGAGAGACAGCAAACAACTTCTACACAGCTGTCTCCAGTTCGACCAATAAACTGCAGGAGCTGATCCTGCTCCTGATTGGAGGAGAGCAGCGTACTCGGCGTGTGGGTAGCAGAGTTGGGATTGGTGGAAGAGGACTATAAAGGAGGGGAGAAACAACATGCACCGGGAACATCTAAGAGGAACACCTGAGGAACACCTGAGCAGCCCCCAAGAGAGAGAGCCGGCCGGGGGCGTGCCGCCCCTCCGCGGAAGCGGGGAAGGCGGCGGGGGCGGGGGGGTGCCGCCCCTCCGCGAGTGAGGGAACGGCAGCTAACCCGGGAGGGGCCGAGCAGACAAAAGAACAGCGCAGGATCCAGTGTCATTCCTCCGCGAATAGGGGAGCGACAACTGTGTTGTACATGGCATGTGTTTTATTAACAAAAGAAAAGTGGAATGCAAATGTAATGAGGGTTTTATATGAGAACTTACTGGAGTATTTCAATTTGCCTCTCAAGATTATTTCGATCTTCTGTGTATTCTCGGATTATTTCCAGATCCCTGTAAAATTATATTTTATGTTTGAATGAGAATCAGGTGTCAAGTCCTGCCTTCCTTGCACCTACCTCCCAGGCCCTTGCTTACCTTTTCTCAAAGATGTGTGTCCTTGACGCTGGTCCTGCCTTATCTGTGCTCCTGCCCTGTTCTTCTGTGACATCAGCAGCCTCTCCTAAGACTCCACAAGCACACCCACACCCCGTTCGTCCTCCTGCCGGGTTCCACCCTCCTCTGCCACATTCAGCACCCAGCGGCCTGGTTATTTTCCTCACTGGAACTGAATTCTGAGCCCCAGGTCTGCTCCTGACCTCCCCGCCCCTTTCCACAGGCAGGCGTGGTATAGGGTCCCTTCATTCCTCTGAACTTCTCTGCCCACTCCAAGCCTTACAGAAATTGACTTTAAAAAGTTCATGGAAATTGAATTAAAATATAAGTTCATTTTGGTCCAAAATAATCTGAAGTTCCTACACTGAAAACAAATGTGTATTATTTTAAAAAGTATGCATGGATTTCAACTCCACTTGGTTTCTCTTTTCCTGTGACTCTGTCCTTTCCCTAACTTAACCTCACCCCTGCTTTTCCTCCTCACCTCACCCAAAAACCACAGAACCAGGCTTTCTGGGATCCCCAGCGACTCCAGTTTTACTGCCTCTGTTGCTTTATTATGGAAGCCCTGGGCCTCTTCCTCAAACTGCACTCAGAACAGGTGTACTCATTGTCACCCAAAAGCCCCACTGCTCAGCAGACAAACCCCATCACCAGCTTTCCAAAACTCTTGGGCTTCCAAGTGTATGCACAAAAACCTGTCCATTTGCATCCTGGATGGTAAAGCTAAAACTTCTCGACTGGCTGTAGGAATTCAAATTCCTTAACCAAAAATTCTGGGCCCTTATGTTATAGTCTTAAACTAACGTTTCAACTATTTATTTCTTTACATGTTGCCTTCCGCTTCAAAATCTCTCTTTCTGTTCAGTGGCCTGAGCACCTCTCTCCAAACCAGCCTTATCCTCCCCTATGTTCTTGCCCCGGCTTTGGCTGTTGCCTCACCTGGAACACCTGTGACACTCTGTTTCCCCAGGTGTAACATGTGCACGCTGGAAGTGCCTCTCCCCTAGGGTCCTGGGAGTAGAAGGAGTTACACCTGCCCGGCTGAGCACAGCTGCTGGACATGGCAGTGCCACCAGCTTCCTGCTGCTGGTGCTGCCCTCAGGGCTGCTTCCTCCCCACTTGCCCAGCACAAACCTGTTCCCCAAGTCTCTGCTTTTAAAAAAATCCTTCAGCTCTTCTAAATGGAAAGAAAACTCTTCTGTGATACCACACCAATAAAACCCAGCTGTGACCCTGTAGGTGATATTATTTCTGAGACCGTTCACGTCTGTAACTTTGCTTCTTTCAAATAAACTTAAGTTTTCAAAAAGCACAGACCACACCTTTCCTTTTTTTTTTTTTTTATTTACTTCAAACTCATAACTCCTTTTCTAGCTCAGGGACATGTATATAGTAAATATTTAATAAATGCTTTACTGTTTTCTGTTATAAGACCTTAATTCTGGCCAGCGCCGTGGCTCACTAGGCTAATCCTCCGCCTTGCGGTGCCAGCACACCGGGTTCTAGTCACGGTTGGGGCGCCGGATTCTGTCCCGGTTGCCCCTCTTCCAGGCCAGCTCTCTGCTGTGGCCAGGGAGTGCAGTGGAGGATGGCCCAAGTGCTTGGGCCCTGCACCCCATGGGAGACCAGGAGAAGCACCTGGCTTCTGCCTTCGGATCAGCGCGGTGCGCTGGCCACGGCAGCCATTGGAGGGTGAACCAACAGCAAAGGAAGACCTTTCTCTCTGTCTCTCACTGTCCACTCTGCCTGTCCAAAAAAAAAAAAAAAAACCAAACCAAAAAAAAAACCTTAATTCTGATTAACATTTGTGGAAAAAGAAGTAAAACCTATATTTCCCCCCAGTGTACATGTACTGAGAAACACACATATATAAATGTCAATACATTCTATACTTATATACCCCTCTACAAGCACCCATGTATACATACATTATATACATGCGTGTGTGTGTGAATGTAGCAGGGGTTATTTATGCCATACTGCAAAATGAAGAAATTAAAAAATAAAAGTACTTGCCTAACAAATCTCCTTTTCCCTTGTTTATGTTTTATGTCAGGATTCCTGCCTGCAAAGAGCTTTAATAAGCACCGACTCTTGACATTTTAGCTTTATTCTTCTAGCTCCCAGAGAATTCAACCATTTTACTAAGGAAGCCCTACACTGTCCTAAACAGCCAATAATTAAACGAATTAATTTGTCCCTTTAAAATAATTGAAAACATAGAGAACTAGGAATTGTGACACTGAAAGCAAAATAGAAAGTATGAATTAATGCTATAACTAGTACTCAAACAGTATTTTAACACTTTATGTTTCTGTGTGGGTGCAAACTGATGAAATCTTTACTTAATATATACTAAACTGATCTTCTGTATATAAAGAGAATTGAAAATGAATCTTGATGTGAATGGAAGGGGAGAGGGAGCGGGAGAGGGGAGGGTTGCGGGTGGGAGGGAAGTTATGAGGGGGAAAAAGCCATTGTAATCCATAAACTGTACTTTGGAAATTTATATTTATTAAATAAAAAAAGACCATATAAATAAAGTTAATGGGCAATCCTTTAATCTTACAGAACTGAGATTCATACACACAGATGATCAGCTCAGCAAACACTGCACCCAAACTGAAAAATAAAACGCAGAGTTCCCTACCTCTCAGAGCTCAGACTCTGGTTAGCATAATCGCTCTCAGAGCGTCTAATTCACTCTGAAGGAGGCTATGCTTGTCTATGCTTCTAAAAGGTCTTTTTAAACTTTCTGATTTTCCTAGAGAAAAGAAGAAGTACAAGATACTAGATTTAGTGTCTTTAGCCTGGGAGAAATGAAGTGAAGTGAACTGGATCCTCCCACATATCACTCCCACTTTCCCACTGTTCCTGAGATCTTACTGCTCAAAGAACTGATTGCCAATTCATAGTAATTTCAAATTATTATAAGTTATTACTTTATCAAAAATCTACATCCTCAAGACCATTCTTCAGTTTTTTTTTTTTATATAATTGACATTAAGCACCAAACTACAGTAGAGGTGTTAGGAAGTTTTTAGGCAAATTAACTGAGATGAAACCTTTGAACACCTACTTAATGAGAGCTACAAAAGTAATTTTACATAATCTGTGGAATTAACAGTAGCTATTATAAGATAGACTGTTTTTTTTACAATAAATCCTATGACATTAACATTGTAAGTTTTGCACTTAAAAATAATTCAGTATGTTAGGAAATTTCTATATTTTTCTTTAAAAAAAAAAAAAAAGACCCCTAGAGGCCTCTGGTTCAAGGTGGTGGACTGAACACATGATTTTATTTTCTCCTTTCTGAAACCGAATTAGCACTGAAATACCAAAGGAAATGGATGTTAATGGAAGAGGGGCTGATGAACAGTCAAGTGACTTAGACACATTTCTGGAAAATGGAAACTGGATGGAAATGTCCTTCCAGGGAAATCCAAAAGTGTGCTGAAGGCTCTACCCCAGAACACAGAAGACGGCAAGCGGTTGGCTGCACCCAGAGGGCTGGGATCAGAAGCAGAGCTTCATTTGTAATACCAAGATACTTCTCCTGGCCTTTCCCCCAGCAAGAACAGCAGCCGGCAGAATCGACTCCAAAGGCAACAAGCAGAGCTTGTCGTTTTAAAAGGGAATGAATGACTCCCATGAAGAAAGCCGGAGCTTCTCTCTGAATATCCCTGCCCCACGCGTGCTGTATCTGGGGCTGAGAGCCAGCTTCACACTGAGCTCTCAGAAAACACCTCTCAGGGGAGAAGCCTGGAGGTAAACAGGTTGTTTGGTTGCAAGGGACTCCTACACTAGTTCCCTAAAACAACCAATATAACCTTTCCCTTTAAACTGTGAGCAGATCACAGAGATCATCAAGGATTGCCAGGTATTTAGAAAACAAACAAACAACAACAACAACAAAAACAACAAGAGAGAGAGAGAGAGCCATAGAAAGAGAGGGAGAAAGAGCTACAAAGACCTAAATGAACAAATTCCAGAGGAGTGGGCTGTATAGACAAGTTTTCAATAAATTGTGAGGGGCATGCAGACATATTCAAATATTAAAAAATTGAGAAATTTTATTTCTCACACACCCTTTCCGAAGAATGTCCCCTAGGGATGTACCATACCAAAATGAGGATGAACACCCAAAAGAAGAAAAACTGTGACACAAAAGTGTTACAATTCAGTGAAAGACCCAATGAAAATAAGTTCAGGGACGACATATGGGTATCAAGTCCCAATCAGTCCTGTTAAGAACTGAAATGTCATGGATTTCAAAATTAATATTTCCAGGGAGAAAAATAAAACAAATTTCACGAATTGGGAAAAATAAATAAGAAGTCTTAAAATATCACTGATATCATGAAGACGGTACAGTTTTTTTTAAAAACTTATTTACTTTATTTGGGAGGGGGGAGGGGGGATTCACTTTCTCTCATCTGCTGGTTCACCTCCCGAATGCCCTCAACAGCCAGGGCTGGGCCAGGCCAAAGCACGGAGACAGGAACTCCACCCAGGGCTTCCATGTGGGTGGTAGGTACCCCTGGTATTTGGGCCATCACCTGCTGCCCTCTAAGGGGCACCTTAGCAGGAAGCTGGAACCAGGATATAAATGAGGGCATCTCAACTGTTATGCCAAATTCATACCTGGTGGTTTCTCCGTACAACCAGAAACCAATAACCCAATCAGAAAATCTAAGAAAACCAAGTAACTCTTTAAGAAGTCATGATCCAAATATAAAGGCAACTAAGATGCATCAACATTTGGAACTGCTACGGAATACAGGGAATTCACTTGACCAGACTTTGGAACACTCTTTTTTTTGTTTTGTTTTGTTTTGTTTTGTTTTGTTTTGTTTTTGTTTTTGACAGGCAGAGTGGACAGTGAGAGAAAGAGACAGAGAGAAAGATCTTCCTTTGCCGTTGGTTCACCCTCCAATGGCCGCCACGGCCGGCGCACTGCTCTCATCTGAAGGCAGGAGCCAGGTGCTTCTCCTGGTCTCCCATGGGGTGCAGGGCCCAAGCACTTGGGCCATCCTCCACTGCACTCCCTGGCCACAGCAGAGAGCTGGCCTGGAAGAGGGGCAACCAGGACAGAATCCGGCACCCCAACCTGGACTAGAACCCGGTGTGCCGGCGCCGCAAGGCGGAGGATTAGCCTATTGAGCCACGGTGCCGGCCTGGAACCTTCTTTTGCGTCATATAGGGAAAATGAGTGGAGAAGAAGAAATACAAGCCTACGACCTAGTACCAAAGGTCATAAAAAAGAAAGTGTTCGTTACTTACTTTAAAATTTTGGAATCAATCTAAAATCAAAGTAAAGAAAATAAGAGACAAACAGATGTAAATGTTCTCAACTCCAGCAACAGAATTAAAAAAGATATGGTCAGCAGAAGATATAAAAAGGCTGGAATAGAAAAGTTGGAGGGAGGGCAGGGCAGTTACATCCTTTATAAAAAGCCTGGATGCAAAAGAGCTGAGGTGATAAGAATGGCATTTACCTATGCGTGGGAAGTCTTTATTACTTTGAATAAAAAAAAAATAACAGCATTCACAATGGGTGGCATATCACTGAGGCCAAAACCCAGCATAAATAATACCTTTGCTCACAGACATTTTAAAGACCTTCTCTGACTGGCCTATTAATTTCTCTTTAAACTTCTGTTCCTGGAACAGTGACATAGCAGCACAATTAAGTTTTTGTTGTCTAACAGGAAATGTAAGTTAAAAAAAGTGATTCTTACCATTGATAAATCATAAATTTGGTTTTTTAGTGCAGTCACATCTTCCTTTTGACTTTTGTGTTTTGATAGTTCTTCAAGCTGAAAGAGCAAATGAAAGCTGTTGAATTACAAATTCACTTCGGATTGCTTTGGATAAGTGTAGGGGTATCCTTGAATAAAGATACGAAAATCATAGAAATCTTAAATTTTCAACATATACTATTTTGTATATTACTAACCTACATAAAATGCATAAGGATTTGTAGGTTTGTTTTAAATAATTAAGTATTTATAAAAGATTTAAGCATTAAATGGATTTTCTTGAAAACAACTGAAAGGCCATTTTTGGAAACCACTCAACTAGTAAGCAATTCAATTCTAGCTTTTTTCACTTATGTTCCATGCAAGTCTGAACCTCTGTGTTCAACTTTATAAATTGCATACTTAATATTTCTTGTTCTGTGTTGTAAGTATTTAGGAATGTCTTACTCTCCCTTCTAAAGTGGAAGACTTTTTAAAAGCAGAATTCATGTCAGATTCACCTATGTTTTCTCCATGGCAAACTCAAGAAGTGCTTATCCAATCACTGAAATCAAAACCTGTGCATGACATGAAGCTAGACACACACAACACAATTATATAAACACACAAGCACTGGGGCTGGCGCTGTGGCCCAGTGAGTTAAAGGCCTGACCTGAAGTGCTGGTATCCCATTTGGGCGCCGGTTCCAGTCCCAGCTGCTCCTCTTCTGATCCAGCTCTCTGCTGTGGCCTAGGAAAGCAGTAGAAGATGGCCCAAGTCCTTGGGCCCCTGCACCCATGTGAGAGACCAGAAGAAGCTCCTGGCTCCTGGCTTCAGATCAGCGCAGCTCCGGCCATTGTGGCCATCTGGGGAGTGAACCAGTAGATGGTTCACTCTCTCTGTCTCTACCTCTCTCTGTAACTCTTTCTTTCAAATTAATAAAATAAACCTTTAAAAAAATACACAAGCATTGCTTGCTGGTTGGGTCATTAATATGTCTGGAATCAGCTGTTCAGGAGCACTTATAACATGGAAAACAGAAAATATCTCTCCAACAAATAGCTCACATTCCCTGGGAATTATGTGGACTTGGGGTGTTCATTTATGGAACATTTATGCACTGATCACAACGTTCCTGTATTTCATCAGGTCTGAGATCTTTGACACTGGACTTCACCTTGCCACATACATCAACAAAAGGCTTTTATATTCAGCTGTGTCTCAACTGCTATGCGGCTGACGGTAACCGAGAAGAGCCAATGATTTCAAGATGCATTATGACTTCAAAGTAAAAAAAATTGTGAGTTCTTGGGGTCACTGCTGTGGCAAAGTGGGTTACGCTGCAGCCTGCAACACCAGCATCCCATAATAGCACTGGTTGCAGTCTCACTGCTCTACTTCCAATCCAGTTCCTTTCTAATGTGCCTGGGAAAGCAACAAAAGATGGCCCAAGGAGTTAGGCCCTTGACACCCAAGTGGGAGACTCAGATGGAGTTCCAGGTTCCTGGTTTCTGTTTGGGCCAGCCCCAGGCTTTGCAGCCATCTGGGAGGTGAAACAGCAGATGGAAAATCTCTCTCTTTTTTACTCTCTCTGTAATTCTGCCATCAAATAAATAAATAAATCTTTTTTTAAAAAATGGATTTCTCGCCGGTGCCGCAGCTCACTAGGCTAATCCTCCGCCTTGCAGTGCCAGCACACCAGGTTCTAGTCCCGGTTGGGGCGCCAGATTCTGTCCCGGTTGCCCCTCTTCCAGGCCAGCTCTCTGCTGTGGCCAGGGAGTGCAGTGGAGGATGGCCCAAGTGCTTGGGCCCTGCACCCCATGGGAGACCAGGAGAAGCACCTGGCTCCTGGCTCCTGCCATCGGATCAGCGCAGTGCGCCGGCCGCGGCGGCCATTGGAGGGTGAACCAACGGCAAAGGAAGACCTTTCTCTCCGTCTCTCTCTCTCACTGTCCACTCTGCCTGTCAAAAAAAAAAAATGGATTTCTCAGAATAAGTGGCATATGTTATTGGCAAATGTAATCAATTTCGGTAAACTTTTTAGGGTTGTTTACACCCTTTAACATACTGTCATAAATCATCTTACTGTTTTGCATAAGAACCACATCAGGCAGGCACGAAGTCTAAGTATGAAAGCACAAACTGCAGTAAGACAACTCCACGGGGTACTGGCTGTGTGACTTTGAAGAAGTTGCTCAACCTCTCTGGAACTCAGTATCTATAAAAAATAGGATATTTACACCTTCCTGGGAAAAAGCTTGAAGATTAAATTTTATAAATTATAAAAGGAGCTTAACAAACTATAGTTAATGAAATGCAAGTTATTGGGCCGGTGCCGTGGCTCACTAGGCTAATCCTCCGCCTTGCGGCGCCGGCACACCAGGTTCTCCCATGGGAGACCAGGATAAGCACCTGGCTCCTGTCTTCGGATCAGCGCGGTGTGCCATTGGAGAGTGAACAAATGGCAAAAAGGAAGACCTTTCTCTCTGTCTCTCTCTCTCACTGTCCACTCTGCCTGTCAAAAAAAAAAAAAAAAAAAGAAATGCAAGTTATTGTGGTTGGGCAGGACAGTTCATCATCAACCCCTTTTTTACAGATAAGAAACTAACAACGGTCAGAACGGAGCTGCAGGCAGAAACCGTTACAGGTTGAACAAGGACTCAGTTCTCATCAGTTATTCCCGACTCACAGCCTCCGTTCAGAGCCGTTTGGTTTTCACCATAGATGACGTCAGGGTAGCAGGGCAAGAAGCTCTGTGTCTCGTATTGCATACACTGTGTTAGTCTAAAGATCCTGGAAGCCACAGGAATAAGTAAAACCAGTGACTTGCAGAATCTGTGGCTTTGGCACAAGCAGGAGACTGGGCAAAGTATATAGGTATGAAAATTCAACATAAAGTTGACGTTGGTGACAATTTTCCAAGAAGGCTGTTGGGGAGAATTCTTAATCTTGCCAGAGGTTTAACTCAGAATAGTTTGTAAAATACAATTCATTGTCACTCAGTCTTACTGTCACATTCAGAACCAATTGTTTTTTAATTACCTGTTTTCATTTTAACTACTAGGTATGCAAACAGCCCACGTGTAACAATGGAGTGGAATACTGTACTGGAGACAACTTGTACCAGTGGGTGAGCATCTAAGTTAGCATCTCTTCCCAGCCTGCATTTAGTCATGTCAACTTGGTAGTGTGAAATTAATAATGGTGGGAGTCTTTTATACCATGGAAATCAGCAAACTTTAGAAATTAGCAAACTGTATAATTGCAAATCCCTCTCATCTCTCTGCATCCCACTTCAGAGTCACTTGTTAAATGTCTGACAGCACATGACTGAATGAAACCGCCAAAGCCCAAACCAGATCACGCCTCTGCGGATACCTCAGCAAATTCTTCCCTGTCTCCGGCTGATCAGGAGGGGTCCCTGAGGTCTGGGGCTTTCTTCTTAAAGGAGCAATATGCATTATGTGACTAATATTCACAGACGAGCTATCAGTTAACTGGGAGTAGGGGAACAGAAGCGCACGACCAAGAGAGACCACACACTGTCAAGAAGTGTGCAGTGTACTTGGCAAAGGGGACTGAAGGGTACCTGGTTGATGCAAATGAAAGGAATCAAAGTGGGGTTTGATGGACAACTCTTCAAGGGATCAGAAACATTTTAAAATCTATGGAAAAGCTAGGTAGCCTCTGGAAATGGAGGAGAAACTCAAATGCCCTTAAAAAAAATCTTAGTAAGAAGTCAGCTTGACTCTACTTATTCTGTCTGCCATCTCAATGCAATTTCAAATGTTTTTAGTCATTGTGTGAGACACACGTTGATACTGAGGCTGTTCCTGAAAGTTTGGCTGCTACAGCCTTACCTTGTTTAGTTCTTTTATTGTCACCTGCAGATCCCCTACTTCTGTTTCCTACTGACATCTGAGATCAGTGAGAGCTTCCTAAGCTTTGCATTTTTCCTACAAGAAAAACAGAAATATTTTGTTGATTTAAATAGATTCAACCCTTAAACAGCCTTCAATACTCCGCAGGTGAAAACATTTTGCATCAAATGAAAGCTGACCTCAATTCTCCTACCTGAAGGGAGGGAGGAATAGGAAGGGATGATAGATAGAAACCAAATAACTTTAAACATGCAGGAGTTCTGGAGTTGGAGCCTGCAAAAGTGAAAAGAACTGTAGAATCCCCACAACCTGCATCCATACATCACCCTGGAGTGATAACTCTGAGACCATACCTACATTGTGATAAAGGGTAATAGCACACCAGTTAAGTAATGATTACTACTATTAGTTAAAAGATATGGCCCACCTAAGAGCTCCAATATGTGCCTAAATCGTCATGTCATTAGGACTCAGGAAGGTATAGTTAGTGGACGTGCCCTTTTTCTGAGAGTGCATGCTTTACCTGAAATCAAATCCTATCATTGCAAATTTCTATGTAAATGTGTCCCCATAAGCTGGTTTTTCTTCAAAATGTCCCTTCTCATTTTTCTCTTATTAAACTGTATAATTGCAAATGCCCTGTTCAGAATTCAAACATCTTTATGTTTATAACCAGTGAAATCTCATGTATAAATATTCACTGACATATCAAGAATGGCCCCATGGACACGGGGACATTGCAAATTGATATTCTAGTGGGGGAAGACAGAAAACAGAGATGACTTCAGGGAATGATACTAAGAAAAACCGGAGAGATAGGGCAGAAAACGGTCTGAGGGGGGTGAAGGTGGGTACCTCCCCCAAGGTGCACGATCCCACTTGTTGCAGGAGGGGCTCCTACTGCCCTCTCACTGGCTGTTGAGCCTGTGCAAGCTGCTTATCTTCCTTGCATGCCTCCATTTACTTAATGGGTTATTATGAGGATCTATTAAATAATCCAATTAAATACTCCTTGACAATTACATGCTCCATATACGTTCAAAAAATCTGTGTGAAATGCTTAGTAGAAGAGCAATGGTTTCCCTACTGGTACCCTTTTCTAAAGTGGCTATCTGGGGGTCAGCACCGTGGCTCACTTGGCTAATCCTCTGCCTGCAGTGCCAGTATCCCATATTGGTGCCGGGTTCTAGTCCTGGTTGCTCCTCTTCCAGTCCAGCTCTCTGCTGTGGCCCGGGAGGGCAGTGGAGGATGGCCCAAGTGCTTGCGCACCTGCACCCACGTGGGAGACCAGGAGGAAGCACCTGGCTCTTGGCTTTGGATTGGCCATTTGGGGGGTGAACCAACGGAAGGAAGACCTTTCTCTCTGCCTCTAACTCTGCCTGTCAAAAAAAATTAAAATAAAGTAAAGTGGCTATCTGGAGTTCATCCAGCTTTGCAAGGGAGGCAGGTAACAAGCATTGCCTACTCCCATAGGTATAGGAAGACAGTGAGGTGCTAACTTAGGCAGTTTTTCTAGCGTCAAAACAGACCTGGATGCAAGTCTTTCCACCCAGATGTAACTACTTTTACCGTTTAAAAATACTTTATTAAAAAATGAATAAAGGAAATGAACATTCTGTAGCTTATTCCAGTTCCAATCTGTACAAGTAGATGTGGGGGTGAGATAAGAGGTTATTGCAGCAATGAGGTGAGAAATGGTGGTGGCTGGGAGAAACTCTTCACAGATTTGAGCACACTGCTCTGGAGGGAATATTTTACAATTCCTGCAATGAGACCAGAACTTGTCTGATACCAAAATCAGACAAAGACATTAAAACTACAAGCCATTACCTCATGTGAGTTCAGATGTAAATATGATAAATAAAATTCAGCAAACTAAATTCAAGAATGTATATAAAGGATAATTCATCATGGCCAACTGGGGCCTATCTCAAGAGCACAAGTTTGTTTTTACACCCAACAATTAGTCAATGCAATTCAGCCAACATAATTCAAAACAAACTCTAAAAACAGAAAAGAAACCTGGTCACTTTAGTAGACACAGCAAAAGCACCTGACAAAACCCAAGACTTATTCCTGATTAAAACAACAACTGCAATGACTCTCAGTGAACTAGGCACACAAATATATATATTAATATAGGGGATTTATGAACACACCCCTAACATCATATTTATTTATTTATTTTTGTTGTTTTTAACTTTTATTTAATGAATATAAATTTCCAAAGTACAGCTTATAGATACAATGGCTTCCCCCCCATAACATCCCTCCCACCTGCAACCCTCCCCTTTCCCACTCCCTCTCCCCTTCCATTCACATCCAGGATTCATTTCCAATCCTGTGGATTCACAGAAGATCAGTTTAGCATACATTAAGTAAAGATTTCAACAGTTTGCACCCACATAGAAACACAAAGTGAAAAATACTGTTTGAGTACTAGTTATAGCATTAATTCATATTATACAGCACATTAAGGACAGAGATCCTACATGAGGAGTAAGTGCACAGTGACTCCTGTTGTTGACTTAACAAATTGACACTCTTGTTTATGGCATCAGTAATCACCCTAGGCTCTAGTCATGAGTTGCCAAGGCTATGGAAGCCTTTTGAGTTCACCGACTCTGATCATATTTAGACAAGGTCGTACTGACTTTCTTGTAGTAGCTCTTTGTATATTATGGATATAAGTTCCCTTTTTTACATAAGGACTGGGTCCCATTTTATAGGTATAAAAACAGCTGTAAAACTGTACAGTTTAGGTGTAAAAACTGAGGTATAAAAGCTCAGACTGAGACAGAAAGTGAGAAGGTGAAAGTGAGTGATACGCCCTGGGCCCAGCCATTCTGGTCACTACAGCATCCTCCATGTGGCCAAGTCTCCTGAGCAGGCCTCTGTGGGCTAAACTGTTCCATACATGGCACATGGAGTGGAGAGGAAATTGTTAGGACCGTAAAGCTGCCGACAGTGTTCTGCCACATGGGCCTGCTGTGTGACTAGCTACTCCTGGTCTTTTTGTCTTCTGAGCTGGTGTTGTCCTCTGTAATGGGGGATTCTGAAGCCTCCCTCATGTGGTTGTTGAAAGGATGGTGCGTTGGGTGGATTAACATCCCCCAATTTTTTTCTTCCCGGGAACCTTTGTGTTTGACCTTAGTTGGAAATGGGGACTTTATAGATGTACTTCATTAAGAATCTCAGGATGACAACACCTTTTGGGTAGACCCTAAATCCAATGAGTGCTGTCCATATGAGAAGAGAGGCCAGTTTCAGGCATGTGATGCAGTGGTTACGAGGCTACTTGTGTTGCCACAGCCCTTGTTAGGGTGCCTGTGTTTGAATTTAATTCCAGCTACTTGTTCATATGTACCTGGAGACAGCAGTGATGGCTCAGGTAGCTGGCCCCATGCCACTCAAATGGGACTTGGAATCCGTTCCCAACTCTACCTTCAGTCTGGCCCATCCCTGCCTTTCAAGAGCTTTAGGCAAGTAGACTAAGAGATGGAAGATCTCTGCCTGTCATTCTTTGTCTCTGTCTCTCTCCAACTCTCAAATAAATAAAAATGAAGGTGTTAAAAAATAAGAGGATCCATGAAGACACACAGAGGTAAGATATTCCCATGGAGATGGAGGCAGAGGCTGGAGTGATACAGTTAGAAGCCAAGAAACACCAACAGCGACCAGAAGTAAGCAGAGGTGAGGAATTCCTCCTGCAGTCTTTTTAAGGTGGAGTGACTTTGATAACACCTGGCTTTTGACTTCTGGCTTCCAGAATCATGAGAATCAGTTTCTCTTATTTTAAAACTTATTATGGCAAGCTTTTATAACTGAATGCATTTGGCTAAATCATACCACTAGCAAAACGACAGATTGAAATCTAGAACCTGGTGTTTGTTGTCCCCACTCTGAACACTGAGTCGCCCTGGCAGTAGGAAGGGTCCATTGGCAATTTAGGTGTTTTGTTTTGTTTTTGTTTTTGTTTTTGTTTTTGTTTTTTTTTTGACAGGCAGAGTGGACAGTGAGAGAGAGAGACATAGAGAAAGGTCTTTCTTTACCGTTGGTTCACCCTCAAATGGCTGCCACAGCTGGTGCGCTGTTGCCGGCACATGCCGCTGAGCCGAAGCCAGGAGCCAGGTACTTATCCTGGTCTCCCATGTGGGTGCAGTGGCCCAAGGACTTGAGCCATCTTCCACTGCTTTCCTAGGCCACAGTAGAAAGCTGGATTGGAAGTGGAGCAGCCGGGACTCGAACCGGCGCAGCCGGGACTCGAACCGGCACCCATATGGGATTCTGGTGCTGCAGGTGGCAGCTTTACCCGCTACGTCACAGTGGTTCCCTTACATTCTCTTGATATCACAACCAAAGCAGCAGTAATTGAAGAAAATGAGAATCTCTGGACACTGCAGGAAGGGGTGTTGGCATCAGAGGTGGAATTCGTCCTTTGGGAGACTGAGTTGGGGGGAATGAGAGCCAGCCCAGGGCAGCCTTAGTCATGAATGTTTGTCTGAAGTTAGTGAGAGGCTTGCACACAAGGCACCTGTGCTGGTGACAGGGAACAGAGCTTAGTTAGTGGGGTTTGAAGTCCTTCACAGGGCCGTGCTGGTCTGGGGACACTGCAGAGCCTGTCTAGGGTAGGAGTCAGGTCCTGAGAGCCCCCGTGGGGCCGCCCAGGTTCTTTCCTCCCAGCCCAGGATGCCTTCACAGAAACTGCAGGGGCTGCGAAGGGCCTCAGTTGCCCCCGTGTGTCCCAGGAGCCAGCCCTTCTCTTGTCTGCCAGGAGGCCTGTGTCAGCCACTGCCTGTGGTCGACTGATGAGCAGACTCGTGCTGGCCCGCCCTTTTCCCGGCCTCTGGGACAGCATGGGTCCGCCTGTTAGGACCAGTGAGGGCCACCCCCAGTGCTGCCCAGGGCACAGAGCCGTCGAGGACCTCCTGCAGTGCTGAGGTCCCCCTGTGAGCAGTCCCCCCTGGTGAATGAGAAAGCACAGCCCTTGGCTTTGGCGGCCATCAGTGCTGCTCAGTTTGTCAGCCTCCATTTCCCCAGATGCTGCAGCCTCTTTTCCCAAAGCCAGCGCTTTCCACCTCCCCAGACCCACACTGAGGAGGGACCAGGCCTGCCAGGAGCCTGCTTCACGGGAGCAGAAAGGAGCCCCCTCGGGAGGGTGCCCACTCCAGGCTCAGTTCTCGAACTCTGCTCCTGGGGCCCTCGTCTGACGGCTCAGAAGCAGCTCCCAGGAAGACATTTATAGGACACAAAGGACAGCGGGGCTCCGGAGGACCCAGAGCAAATGAGGGCTTGTGTGGGAGGTGATGGTGCGGGGCACTAGCAGCCGGGGTAGAAGTGTGTGAACCCGGAGGGAGACGTCGGTCAGGCCGCTGTGCAGCCACGAGCAGGCATCCCCGTCTGTCTTGCCTCACCGTCCACTCCCCACTGACGCCAGGACAGAGGGCAGCAGAGCAGAGACGATTTCCAATGTAACTTCCTTTATTTACACAAACAAAGTCCCAAAGGGATGATTCCACACTCTTGCCCCAGGTCCCTCCACCCGGGGCTCCTAGAGTCGCCCTCTTGTGGTGAGGAACAGCAGGGTCAGCACTTTGGGTGCAGGGCAGAGTTAGGGTCCATGTGCTTCAGGCTGCACCTGGAGGAGCTGCTCCCAGAGCCCTGGCGCCACCTAGTGGGCTGAATGGTGCTTCTTCCTCCTCCTGGTGACCAAGTGGTCACGTTTCCTCTTCTGAGCCTGGGAGTTTCCCACAGAGCCCAGAGCCTGGGCCTGCCCTGCAGAAGCCCTGAGCTGAGGCACTGGGCAGGGCTTCTTTTTTGCAGGGCCCTGGCCTCCCTGCAGAGCTTGCTTCCTGGACTTTGCAGCATGTGGGAGGGGTCCCCTAGGGTCCCTTCCATGGGTAGACAGGGGTTTTGGTGCTCTGCAAGGATTCCCAGCTCCAAGGCAGGGCAGGTCTTCAGCAGAGGCCTCGCTCCGTGCAAAGCCCAAGGGCAGCAGGTGGTGCTGGGAGGCCAGGAGGAAGGAGAGACTGGGAAGTTCCTCCTCGTTCTCACTGGAGTTGTCCAGTGGTGCGTGCGAGCCCCCAACAGAGGGTCCTCCTCTGAAACTCCTGGCATCTTTGGTGGCCCCCAGTGAGGGACACTCCCGATGTCCACTAAAGACAGCATTAACCTCAGGCCTGCACAGGGGGGTGTCTGGGACAACATGTCTCTGCAGGTCTTGGGAAGACATCGACCCAGAGAAGCACTCAGCTCTGGCCCCAAGGCGGGGGCCCTGGTTGTCACTCTGTGCACTTTGTTGGGGTCCAGATTCAGAATTGCTGGGGTTCAGTTGGGGCACACCATGACTGGGGGTTGCCCCCACAGCCCCATCCTCTTTCAAGGAGCAGTGCTTCGCCATCACCTGCAGAGGAAACAGGCCCTTAGTGGCTGTGCCAGGTGTGAGGGAGGCCAGGGAGTGCACAGCAGGTACTCGGGAGGAGGCAGAAAGGCCTGAGTCTCTGGGCTGGTCCCATTAGTGTGAGGGGTTCTGCCTCCACCCACATGGGCCTCATTCTATCCCTGTACCCTAAGCTGGAACTGGCTCTTCTGTCTCCTTAACACACGTGTGCACCTGCACCCCACCCGAAGCAGCTCCTCAAGAAGTCATTTTTCCCCAGCAGAGTAGGGGGGGGACAAAATGATCTGGGTCTGCCATGCTGGGGTCCCCCCTTCTACCACCAGTCTACCTATGTGCCCCTCCCTGCCCTGTCTACCTCCTGTCCCCCCACCCCTGGTTCCTGGTGCCCCTCCCTGCCTTGTCTACCTGCTGTCCCCCCACCCCTGGTTCCTGGTGCCCCTCCCTGCCTTGTCTACCTGCTGTCCCCCCACCCCTGGTTTCCTGGTGCCTCTCTCTGCCCTGTCTGCATGCTGCCTCCAACCCCTGGTTTCCTGGTGCCCCTCCCTGCCCTGTCTACATGATGCCCCCACCCTGGTTTCCTGGTGCCCCTCCCACCCCGTCTACATGCTATGCCTGCTCTACCTGCTGACCACCTTCTGTATTTACCTGGCCAGCAGTCAGCCCTTCCTCCTTCTCCAGCTCCTTGGACAGGGCCTTGAGGTCCAGATGTGGATCTGGGGAAAGCAGTTCTTCCAGGAATCTGGGGTGAATGATGGCTTCCGCCTAGAAGAGACACAAGATGTCCATGATCATCCTTGCATGAAGCACCTGAGATGATGGGAACTTGAACAGAACCAGAGAGCAATGACGGCCCCATCACTGTTCACACTCTGGGGTGTACATCAGTGGGCAGTCAGCTTCACTCCCTCCCTCCCTCCTTCACTGAGGAACACAAAGGCAGTGGTGAAGAACTTGCATTTGGCTTAAGGGCCTGGCAGGGTCATTTTTTGGATCTTGCATCCCAGTGCTGCATCCCAACCCACCTTGGTGACAAAATCCACCTGGGAGCATAGATGGTCAATGTAGGACAGCATTTCCGGGTCCGGGTATGACCCCTCATTCTCCAGGAAACCTTCATCTGTGTCCTCTTCTGGGTGGCCATCGGGAGGCTCCAAGGACAAGGGTGTTGGCCCCAGCAACGTGTCCATGATTTCCATGTACTCCTTCACGGCCTCTGGTGGGATCTCCTTGGGTGTCTTGTCCTGAGGCCCCTGGTGTCTGGGTGGCACTGGACAGGCAGGCAGGGCCTTGGAGCTGGCCTTCCTGGCGGCACACCCTGTGGATGGGAACATGGTGTCAGTGCAGGGGCTCCAGTGTCATGTCAGCCGCAGTGGGGTGGACAGTTGTTGGAGGACATGAGTGGTCATGCTGGGCCAGGAAACCTGACAAAAGCATCCGAGAGAGGAGATGGGGCCGAGAGGTGGAACATCTGTCACCAACACTCCTCGTTCTTATCTCCACATCCCATCCTGGCCAGTGTTTGCTGGCTCCTTGGGAAGCTAAGGGATGAGAGGCACTAGGACTGAGGTATGAAAAATCCCCAGGTAATGGCC